GAAATTCAGTACTCACAAACAAACACTGTAACCATCTGTGACATTTTGGGGCTGAACTCCACTCATGTATAAAGAATTATTTAAAACTTAAAAGAGAAAGTAGTTGTCGTTGTTTTTTTGGTGGAGGCTTCTAATATTGTGCAGATAGCAATGAAGGATGTAAAGGCACGCACAAAAAAGAAAAGCAAAAATAACCCCAGAAGAACTGCACTTTTTAAAAAAATTCTTTCTGGCAAGAAATTCTTTACCTGAAAATCGGTAGATAACGACCGATTCTTCTGAATCTTGGCCTCTCTACATGGTAAGTTTTTCAGTAATTGCAGCATTATCCATGAATGATGCGGCAATCTGCTGTCTGAACAAAGACTTTCAATGCGTCTGAGGAGATGTGCTCAAGTAAACAAGGACGTTCCAATACAGCAAAACAGTCTGATGCATGATCAGAGTTCTGAATGATAGTACACCGAGAGAGAACAGTTCTGCTTTTTCAAATGTCAATTCAAAGTGAAACTCTGAGCCTCTATAGGGTGTTTATAGAATTAAATACAGGATGTGGGTCAGCTTTGTGTGTGTGTGTGTGTGTGTGTGTGTGTGTGTGTGTGTGTGTGTGTGTGTGTGTGTGTGTGTGTGTTGTTCCACCATATCCCAAAGGTGCTGTATTGGATTGAGATCTGGTCACTTTAAGCCATTTGAGTACAGTGAACTGTGAGTACAGTGAAGCAGCCAGCAGATGTTTATGCTGCTGACATAAAGGAATGTACATGGTCAGCAACAATACTCGGGTATGTTGTTGTGTTTAACTAATGCTCAATTTTAGCTCAATTTTCAACCAAGGACCCAAAATGTACCAAGAAAATAACACCCACACCTTGGCACAAGGATATGATGGATCCATGCTTTCATGTGGTTAATGCCAAATTCTGACCCTAATATCCAAATGTTGCAGCAGAAATCAACAGTCATCAGCCAACATCTTTCCAGTCCTTCTATTGTCCAATTTTGGTGAGCCTGTGCAGACTAGCTTCTGTTTCCTGTTCTTAGCTCATGGGTGTGGCACCAAGGGCATCAATGAGGTGCCTATTCCTAAATGTACTGAGTTGCTGCGATACGCATTTAGGTATTTACTAAACAGCAGTTAAACAGATGTGCCTAATAAAGTGGCCAAGAAGTGTATACCTGGACACGGAGGTTATTGTTTACAGTGTGAACTGTTTGAAGGAAGCTGTGAGTAGAACAGAGAAGTCAAACATGTTGAATGACTCGAATGTTTGATAACCACAAACTCAACAAAAATGTGACACAGCATAAAAAAAGGAAAAGAAAGCGGTGGGGAAACCTTCATTTGTAAAATGTGAAGTAGAATGACGTTAAGAAAAATCTGTGTGGTTAGTTCCAGAGAAACTGTATTTTTTTTTTTTTTAATTTACGTGGAATGTGATGTCATATGATGTAAACAAAGAAAAACCTAATTCATTGGCTCAGTTGAGAGGTGGGATCTCCTTCTTTACCACAATTATACTTTCAATTTCCTCCTTCTAATCGAGGTATTACAACTCTTCTTCTCCGTTTATGTAACGATCATTTAGCCTTACTTTGGAGAGATGCACTGCAAACTTAGTTATGCTTAGTTTTTACAGCATATTTAAAATGTCGTCCTGCATATGCTGTATTTGTCCCTGAGCAGGCAACAGTCTATTACTATTGACAATTGAATTGAATTTGTTTTAGACTGGAAAGCTCTAAGGCTGACGTGCTCGTGCTGGACGTTGGTAAACGGATGTAACTTTTGATTGTCTTCTAATAGACCACGTTCACACGTTCATGTGTTTTGCACATTTTCAACCACATCCTGATTTGTACCTACTGAGGTGGACTGTTTTTTTGCAGCTGTAGTTAGCTGCAGATCTGAAACCTAACTTGACCCGACATGATTTAATCCGCAAAGTCATTTTTGCTTTGGTCGACAAGGTCTCGACTGATCACTTCATCTCTCGTCGTCCTCTCAAGCGCTCATCCGCTTGCGCGACAGCCAGAGCACAGAACGAACATTAGAATAAGTGAATGTTACGGTGCAGTGTGGGTGGTAGCAAGCTGTTCACTGGACGAGGAGCGAGTAACATCGCACAGAGAAACTCAAGCGCCGCGCCAGCAGCTAGACACTTCGTTTCGTTTACCCTGTACGGGGCCCAGAGGAGAACAGCTGCGCCGTCTTTACGCACAACCAGAAGAGCTTTCTGAGAGACGGCTGTGTGTCACCACCATGTCCGCGGCAACAGCATCAATATCAGATGTATCCAGGACTGATACCGCAAACAAAAATGACCGAAATAAGTCAGGTAAGAGAGATGGCATAGAAAAACCAGATGCTATTTAATTTAGAAGAAGCCAGCGTGCAGGATCCTCGAGAGACCGAAATGTCACTTGTGCACTGACGCCAGTTTTATTCTGTTAACTTGCGTGCTTCTTGTTCAGGTGATGTGCGCGTCCATGCATGTGTGTGTTTGCTGTAACAACAATTGCACTGCAAGGATTAGTAGCTTAGGGTCCTATGTAATATAAAGACCTGATAGATTGTGTGAACTAGACATCGCAGTAATAAAATGAAACTTAAAAAAAGGGTGGATTGGTGTCCGATTAACGGTTAGTTGATATAATTGCCAGGTGTTATGAAGAAAGACAGAAAGAGGAAACGAAAAGGGGTGGATTTGACGTCAAGCAGCCGGACATTTCACTCTATGTACTGTATGTATGATCATACATACAAGTTACATAAAATTATTCTTCTGTGCACCGAAGTGTGTCTTTGTGGTGGGATCTGAGTTACTAATGGTCTCCGTGTTACAATTTTATCTTGTTTATGGTTTACTATTATCTCTTCTTCTTTTATTTGTCTACCAGCGACTTTTGATATAGTTTGGTTCACTTTATGGTCTGCCACATGTCTTTCTTCAAAGTGCACAACTCCTCCTTGGATATTTTCCTCCAACTTAACCCTTGTGTTGTCCTGGGGTCAAAAATGATGTATGGTAACAGGTGTATGGAAATCCCGAAAAAGTAACCTCCACTAAATCAATCCCTGTAACCTGTCTGTTTTATTTAAGTGAAAACCAAAAGCAGATATCTCAGAGTAAAGAAAAAAAAATCAAAAATCTGGTTTTGATTTTCCCTAAACTAAATACATCATACTTCCAAGTTGTGCTGGAAACCACCGCCTTCATGTCATTGTGTTTATGTGCATTCCAACTACTTGTTTTACAGTGAAGTCATGCTCTTGTAGACTGAGACTTGTAGACATGCAGGAACTGCTGGTGTACTGAGCTGTCACAGTGAAAGACCGTCCGTCCTGTAATATGCTGAGCTCCATGCTGTTCAGTATGATAACCTTGGTTTTTTTTTCTCTTAATGTTGCTCCAGATGGCCTGTGTTTTTCCACCAGTCTTGCAGGCCTTTTGTTTAATGATTTATCACATTTCCTTCTTTGATACCGTTAGAATTCATCTCAGCACGGCACTCGGCTGTTACGGGGGGCTGTGTTTTGTCATGCAGTGTTGCGCAGCCCTTTAGGGGTTCAGTGCTGATAGCTATGGAATGACTGCCCCATTCCACACTGACTCTTATCCGCAGAGCCCCCCCACCCCCTTTTTGTTTGTTCATACAGTTCACCTTGAATTATTGTTGTGCAATCTATGAATTCCAAGTTGTCTTATCGTTCCTATGAATACAAATTTTCTTTTGAAGATGCATGAATTATACATGTACCCAAATTTTGGATGAACTTTGTGTGATTAATGCATATTCACAGTATCTCAAACATCATTAGCAGCAACAACTGTAGACATTGCTGCAAATTTTCCACACCAGCTGACCTCCAGCTTTCTGCTTTAGGTAATTCCAAAGCTCAGTGCACACCCATGCCTCAGCCAACATTGGGCAACCACCAGATCATCCAGGGAAATGGCACTAATGTGGGTACCGTCATATCACTACAGTGCCCAGGGAAGCACAAACTTGTAGGCAGTGATATGATGTGTGTCATGGGCCCCAACAGCACCTACTGGACAGGAGACTCCTATTGTCAAGGTAAGTAGAAACCAAAACCTTGAGATGGCAGTTAATATACAAAAAATGGCACATATTAGTAACCCATTTGTAGCCAGGTACATGTCACTTCATGGACCTAATTGCATATTCATTATGCATTACCAAAATGTGTGTGTATGCAGATTAAATGTCTCAAATGCTTTTCCTAGAAAAACTGCAGAGGCTGCAAAACTCCCACTGAAATGTCTGTCAGCTCATTATTCCAAAGTGATGGAATATATATTAAACATTATGTGTAGGCATTCTTGTTAGGGACCAAGTTACACGCAGATGCTTATGTTGTGTTTGGCTTGCACTAATTATGACCTTAATTTGTGTGGGAACACAATGGAGGGAAAATGATGTGCTGTTTGTCGATACATCTCATTAAGCAATAATATTAATGCTACTAACTGGCAGCGAGGAATCATTTCAGGTAGGTGTACAGCCAGCGAGGAAGTGGAAAAACTGAGGGCAGAATTGTAATTATATTTTTTAGAATCAATCACCATGGGAGAGATGAAATTTTCTGAGTGACACTGAAAGAAATAAAATAATAATAAATTTATATTTTATTGTCCTTTCAGTGATGAGCTGGCAAGAACACTTTGTTGCAAAATGACTTTTTATTTCTGCAAGTCTCTGTTGGATAATGACAATGAAACACTTGTGGCATATTACAGCAGTCTGTGAGGTAGACAATATCTGCAAACCTTGTGTGAGGTGGCATTTGAGACTTCTGGTTGTTGTTATACACAGGTTTTGTAGTATGATGAATGGAATTGTAAAAAAGAAAAAGAAAACACTCAGTGCATGAGACAAAAATCAGTCAATACATCAGTCAACTGGCTCTTCTTCTGTCACTCTTCAGCTCTGTCGCCCAATGATTTTGGTTACCGCGTGGCTGTGGTGGCATCCTTTGTGAGTTCAGGCATAATCCTCTTCATGTCTGTGGCCTTCATCACCTGCTGTTTGCTTGACTGCATCAAGGAGGAAGAAAGGAAAAAGGAGGAGAAGTGAGTCAAGGATTGCTGGAAAAGTTGAAATTAAGTTTTTTAAAAGTAAAAGTAAATCTACTGAGGTATCATTACTGGTAAAATGTAATTATAAGGAAAGCATACATCACAATACACTGCAAAATACTGGATTCTTTATACAAATAAATATCCATACATAATAAATTAGATGGGTTCTTAGCTTAAATGATTGCTAACCTAAGGGTTATAAGACATTAATGGGACAGGAACACAAAATAAGGCCTGATCTGCTACACAGATGTGTGTATGTGTCTTTATTTTGCTTCTTTGGGGTAACAAGTGGCATTTATATGAAGCACAGAGAAATTCTAACAGTCTAAAACATGACAAAGGCATGGCAACAAAAGGACTGCTTGAATACAATGTATTAATAGATGTATCTACTTATTTACAACCACAGGTGCCAAAATACAATATTAGGTCTGGTGAAATATGAAATACTGACATGTATGGGTTTTTTTTATGCCAGTGACTCAGATCCGTGGCAATGGGAGGAGCCAACCCCGAACCAGGAGAACAACATGTCTCGATATAGTCATAAGGGCCGCAACAACAACAACAACAACACCCAGGAGAATCTGCTTTCTCCATGGGACACTGCTGGCCCTACCCTGTGTGACAGCATACGATCTTGCAGGTGAGATGTGCTGAATTTCATTTGAATGCTCCACAGTGACAACAAAAACAACAACAACAAAAAAACCCAACTTCCTGTCTTTTCTTACACAGATGTCACCATCATTACGCCTATTGTCCTGCCTGCACAAACTATGGCCCCACACCTCCCCCTGCTGCTCTTCCTGGACACGACTATAACCAGCCTCTCTTACTCCAAATGCCAGAACCTGACCCACCTCAGTATCCCGGCCCTCCCCTGTCCTCCTGTCAAAGTACAAGCCCGAGCCTGGTCCAGATGTCAGCAGGGGGATCTGGTTTGGTGTGGCAGTATGAAGGACAACAGAGCAGTTTATCAGGAGCAAACCTATTAACCGCAGATGAGGCCCCTGGGAGGAATATAAACTCAAACAGGAATATATACCCCAAAGAACTTTCCATAAGGATTATATCAGTGTGAGGACAGCACACAAAAATCATCAATCAAGACTTTGTTTAATATCCGAATCTGTTCAACAGTGTCAGCTGTATAGACGAGGACTGCGGGATGTAATAACTATATCAGTATGTTTTGGTGTATCAGCAGTGGCGAGATGGCTCTAAAGAGACATTGATCTGACAGACTAATGTGCCTTTTTATGCAAACTGTAGTGGCACACTGCCCCCTGTCTGTAAAGAGGAGCCAGTGCATTTTCAGGACGCCAGTCTTGGAGAGAGCTGTTCTTCGGATGTCAAGAGATTTGAGCTTAAAAGGAAGTTCTGCTGCTTGAGGCTAACACTTAAGGGATCTATTGCGATATAATTAACTTTGCTGTCAGCTGAGGAGAGTGTGGGAATCTGGGAAAAGTTCACTCTTGACACGAGAAGAGATGTTGTAAAAAACTGGCGTGTGTGTAAATAATAATTTTGAGAAATGTAAATAAATGACAGACGTATAATAATAACAATGAGTGATGCATTGGAGTGGGGAGAGTTTATTTAACAACACGTTTATTATTATCATTATTATTATTATTATTATTATTATTATTATTATTATTATTATTCAAGTCTTTAGGTTAGAATAACCTGATGTATGATTATTTGTTGCACTTCTGTGCTTCAGTGTTTGCTACATAAAGCTGTAGTCCGTCACTGTCTGCCCGGCTCATTAACATCATCATGTAGCCTTGAGGTCGGTCATGTGGTGACGCCACGGCCAAGCGTGCTGATGTAACGGGGCAGCGGAGCACCGACTCACGGGGGAGACCAGGAAGTTTTACCGGGAAGGCTGTCGGTCCGATTGTCAAGTTCACACACGGTGTAAATTTGTCAGTATGTCAGGTTTGTGAAGCGAGGGTAAGATGTTTCGCCTTGTTGTGAGTGCTTTGCGCGTATCCTTGCGCCAGAGCTAAGACTTCCAGGATATCCTACCAGGCTCTCTCTCTCTGGGTGCGCCACTTGTTGCTGTAAAGTCATAGTATAAAGTAGTTGTTGTTACACATAGTTATTTAGTAGTTTGTCATAGGTCAGTATCATCGTTTGTCCTGATATGCAACCGGTAACTAAATCGGCAGACTTCTGTCATCAGAGGCATCCAGACTTTTATTAAAGACACGCAGCTCCCTCTGTTGTCAGTCTAGTCCATAGAGATATTATAGCATTAACTGTACATTGGGATAAAGTAAATCCTGTTAAAATATTAAACTAGTAGAATCTTTCATACTGGGATGACGATACTGAGAATAACTACCATGCAATGTAACACTATGACAGTATCTGACACCTACCTACTAATTTAGTTAATAGTTTATGTTTTATGAACAGATGGCAGAAATATTAGTAGTATGTTTGCTCATCAGCTGCAGCCTGTAGCCTGTTTAAGTACACAACTGAGCATAAGAATATCAACAGTGGTCAGGACAAATACAATATCTATATTACTTAATGATTGGCAGTGTGGATATTTACTTCCATAGATCCCCCTTTGTCGTCTTCTTCTTAAGTGTAGCATCTTCTTTTAAGAAAACAGACAATGCTCATGCATAGTTCTGGGGGGAAAACTGGTTCAGAGTCCAAACTATTAACACTAACACCTTACCTGTTTCTGCTGTCTCTCACCATTTTATGCATCTTAAATTGTAGTTGGCTGATTTTCAGTACTAACATTATGCTATAGAAGCTATAAAGTGTAGTGAAACTGACACATTTGCAGCTATATTCGCCTTTCTAAACAAGAGAATAAACCTCTTAGTTCCTTATTTTCAGAACATGGCTGATTCCAAGACGAGCTTACTAAGAAATTACTAAAACTAACAATAAAATCTGCAGCCCTTCTGTTAGGGCTTTGTCGCATGAGCCATTTGTGCAGGGTCATAGCCTGTTTCTGACCTGGTCTCCACGCTTTGACCAGCGCTGGCCTTGACACCCCTTGTTAAGCAATGTCTTTTCACTGTCATCAATCTTCCTTTACTAGACACCGATGGTTACCAAGAGCAGCTGCAGAGTGACTCCCAGTTCCTGTGCTCAGATCAGAGGATGGACACTGAGCTGGTTGACAGACTTGTCCTGCAGCTCAACAGGATCTACCCGCAGATACTAAGTGACAAGGAAGCCCACAGGGTCACTGCAGCTATTTGTGTTACACAAACAAAACAGAAGCATACTGTGCAGATGCGTGCAGTGACTCAATGCAGCCTGTGTCTCCCTGCAGTTCAGGAACCTAAGTGTGCCCACCAAGGTGCGGTTAGCAGACCTCTTGAAGCACCTGCACAGAAAAGGCGAAGAGGCATGCCATGAATTCTACAGAGCCCTTCACATCCATACAGAGGACATCTACTCTAGCCTGCCCAGCAGAGTCAGAGAAAGAGGTGAAACATTGAGCTTTTCTTGGCTACAGATTCCAGATTGGAGGATAGCTGTTTCTTCTCCATAAAGTTCAATTTCCCATTAATTTTATTGCAGACACAACTATTGAACCAATGTCTTTGTGGGACCTAAATGTTCTGGTTTTTTCCTTAAAGCATAAGTTTTGTGTCTGCTAAGCTTTTTTTTTCTTTTTTTTTCAGCACTGGTTGCTTTTTCTACCATGTTAAAAAAAAGTGCATCTTGTATGTTTGGTGTGATGAGGTTAGACAAATTACAGGAGCAGCTTCCAAAGTGTCCTATAAAGGTGGCTCCCCTGCTGTGTCTAGCTTTACATCGGCTTATCCTGTTTAAGATGCAAAGAGAAGCTAATGTGCTGCCTAGACTGCTGTCCAAGTAGCCATTTAACACTTCACAGGTTGTTATTGTTAAAGTGGAATGCTGCATTTTAACCTCTTTTACTTTCTGTTTTTAGAGGTGGCAGATTCAAAATGCACTAACGACAAGACAGTTCGGCAAGAGCGATATGTGCTTAACGACAGAGGTACATATAATCACCATCATTAACAACAGAAAAAGGGGTTGTTTCTATGTAAATCATTCAAATCTTTAAAATTTAAGAATATTGAGATTTCACAAACTAAAAAAACATTCGTTGATTTTATACAATGATGTTATACGATAAATGTTGCTGTTTCTTAGTTATTCTGTAATTATTCTGTAATTATTTAACTAATTCTGCTATAGTTTAGACAATTCATGACATGCTTTCCAGGAAATTGGACTTATTTATTTCAAAAACATGCACACTCTTACTTGCAATCCCTCTCAGGAGGAATCATGCAGATTTAGTTGCATGACGTTCACAAAATACAATCACAAACATGAACTAACAAACAAATGAACAGTGTAATCCATAGGGTGTCACTGACTTGAAAAGCTCACAAATGCACTGCTGTTAATGGTTGAGTTATTCTGTTGATTTATCAGCTTAAAAATATGACTAAACACTAAAAACTGAGTTTCAATCCAACAATGGCACTAACTAAGGGGCAATTTGAAAACAAATCGGATACTGGTAATCACTTGCGAAATATATTTAATGATAATATGTAAGTAATGACTCATAAAAGCCCTATATGTGTCATTTTCTTCCTTATCTTGCCTGCATGGCATTTTAAAAATTATTATAGTTTTACAGTTTGTGTGAGTATGTGTCAGGGTCCCTCTGTACCCCCTCGCTGATCCCAAGATAAGCCCCTTAAGCTCAACTAAGCTGTGGACTTTAGCAAACGCAGTTGTCTGTTGAACCTTTTAACCCCTAGCATCAGAATGCCGGCCCCATCACTGCTCTTTACTTCCACCATTCATCATTCCATCACACTGAGAGCTTGAGCTTTGTGAGGGCAGTTAAGCTCATGTATAAAGCAGCTTCCTCTGGCCTGCATTCCTTTGAACAGTCAGAGCTGCATCCACTGGGTCAAAGGTATGTCAGCAGGGAAATGGGTCATCAGAGATGCCGTGAAACACTGACTCCTGATCATAAGTCATACCAAGGAGCTTGTTTAGCTTGTGAGCAAGACAACTTTATGTACACAGAGCAGATTTAGGACTCTTGACTTTGCCATTCAGAATATCGGCTATTATTTCAGTTTGCTTGTGGTATTTAGTTTTTTTTGGATCATCTAATTTATTAAGCAGGTATGAGCCACTGCAGACTGATCAGATAATTGTATAGTTAATGACTTTATTCTCTCCTCTTGCAGGACCAATGTTCTTCCTGAGCTGTTTCGGTTTTGTAGTTGGAATTGCAATACTCTACTATTACGGAGGTGAGTCGTGGCACAAAAAGTGAGAGGGACACAGACTTGAGACTTACTTTACTTACTTTGATCATGTTCAACATTTCAAAACATACCTTCCATACACACAAAACTCAGTTTTTTTGCTCTTCTTTATAGACACAGAGGGTGAAACCTTGAGATGCACTGGAGTGTTTCTTCACTGCTCGGCTGTAAGACTGAGTAAAGATGCTAGAGATGTTTTCATTTCATATGGAGAAGTTGGAAAGTAAAAAAAAAATGAAAACATCGAGGCAATGAGAAGAAGAAGCCATGAAAAATGTCTTTTTTTCTGTGCCAAACTCATCATTTTCCTAAACCTCACATACTAATTTATGTACGAAAGTACTAATTGGAGGAACGTAACTTGACCTGACACATTCTGTCACAAATTCTCACAGCGTACATCTGAAATGGCAGAACTATGCAACGTTCTTCCAGAGTACTTGTATGTATGATTCTTGCCTGGATTTCATGTTTGTAGATAGCTATGAATTTCTTTTTATTTTTTAACTAAAATGCTTAAAGCGTAATAATAACCAAGTGTAACTGTGCAGCTGCACTCCCACAAAGCTGTTTTCACTTACTAAAGACTGAGTCGGTTGTTTGGGTGCAACAAACCCAAGAGTGGGCAATGAAGTGTATTTTGAGGAGAGCTTCAAGTAGGAGCATCTGTGTGGGAAGGCTCTTGGTTTGCACTTAATTTAACAACTTGATTTTTTTCATTGCTCCGTTTGTTAACGCATTTCACAACAAAGATTTTCTTTTTTTTTAAATACACAACAAATACATGTATGCTCACACCTTAGCCCACTTCCAGTGCCTTTTATGAAATTTGCAAAATAAAGGGCACTCTAATAGTGTTACTTATTTTCAAATAAAGCACAGCAAATTTGGATCACCTGTGTTTGCATCTTATTTTTAGTCTTGTGTAACAAATATTTGACAAAGATCTTTGTAGAAATGGGAACATCATTAATTAAATGCTGTATATGTTGCCGTAGTGTAGCAACAAAGGGGAATTAAAGGTAATTAGGAGTGCATTGATTAGCTTTTCCGGGTTAGTTTCTGGCACTGTTCACTGCACTGTCATCATGAAATGGAGATTATGTTAAATTATTCATCTAATTGATTCAACAGCAGCAACACATACACTAGAGGGCACTACTTCCTCACTCATACACACACACACAAAAAAACAGAAAAATATTCAAGCGTGCTATAACAATGACAATGGGAAGCAGGGATCAGACCTCATTAATGAATAATGGCAATCAATTTGGTTGAATGAGTTAAGCTAACTTGATTAAATGCTCTATTAAATGCTGCTAGCTAGAATGCCTTTGAAATACCCTGATGGGTGCATTTGAATGCTCTCTGTTTCTTGTAATAAACAATGTGCAGGAAAGTAGTCACATCAGAGGTAAGGTCTATCTACATCACAGCAGCAGAGCAGAGGTGTCTGATCTCAGGAGATTATCTGCACTCGGCAGCATTTTTCTGCTACTGTCTTCCCTGCGAAGTGAGAGCAACAGATGAGAGGGGAGTCAAAGAGAGAGGGAGGAGGAATTGGGAGGTGCTAAAGGGGGCTGGAAATGTCACCAGAGTGATTGTTCAGTTCACACTCTGGCATCCACATTCCCACGAGAGAGCTATTAATACACTCGCTTCAAAGGAACTAAAAGTCCTCGTTGATCATCAGCATCCTCTGATGCGCAGCCCCCACAGAGTCACTTTGTTAAACTTCAAGACAGAGCGGTAGGAGCCATGGATATACATTATGTATATATATCAATCTGCAGATCTCCTCCAAGTGAAGCGGTGTATCCAAGTGTATCATCAAATCTGGCTCTCAGTGTGGCTGTTTCCACGGTTACCAATGATAGTTGTAGGGGAGGAAAAGGATGAGATTGCGACGTTTTGCCATCTGAAAGGTGCATCCTCACAACCACCTTGGAGAAATTATAGATAGCTGCATGAATGCGATTACGGTTTTTAGCTGATAATTATGTGAAACAGCCTCAAATTTTCTTTACTGGATATTTATGTCAAACCACTCAAGTGTATAAAATGAGCATTTGCTTGTGCTCTAATTGGGGTTTCAGTGGCATTGCTGCCTAATTAAGGCTTCTGTTTTAACAAGTAGTTCTGCCGGGGTCTGTGCTCTGTTGACTCTGACTCACCAGCTACTTCTGGTCCAAAGAACCACAAACAAAGTCCGGCTTTGCTCGTCACAGAAGGATTCATAGCACAACCAAACACTGTTATAACTGAATGTTAGGCATGACACCTGTGGGGTAGAGTTGATAGTAAAGTTAAAGCTGTGGAGGTGGGTAGTGGTTTTGAGGCGGATGAGGCCTGCCCTGTGCTGCATACATGTGCTCAGCACACCCGTTAAACATGATCAAACGTCATTGGTGCAATTAAAAATTAAAGAGTGTTCAGGTGTGTGTGTGAGACTGTGCATCCATGTCTGGCTAGTGCTTCGGGTCACTGTCGGACAGCATAGGAGACAGACAGCATGAGGTCACATGGTCCTGACTGCTGCTGTCTCCACTTTCCTGTTTGTCCATTCAGAACAAATGTTGTGTTGTTTACGTACCAGACCTCTTTGTCGCTACGGCTGTTTCTCTCTTGTTCGCTATTTTCTCTCGGTGCCTGCAGCCATGTGGGACAATGATTTTCTGGTAAATGAACAGCTGTGTATTTTGTTCGAGTTGTTTTCTGGTGGAAATTTCTCTGCGAGCCTGGAGAGGTCACTGTGTTTGTAGGTCATGTAGGTGATTGTGAAGGTCCGGTCAGAAGAGGAGTAGAGCAAAAACATGCTGACGACATGAAAGTTTTTAGGAGCAAACTGCATAGTAAGGCAGGAGAGAAAATACCTGTTTGAAAAGAGAGAGGGGAGCAGTGAAAGACTGTGAAAATAATGCATACACACATACATAGATGTGCCTGTGTGTGTGTGCGTGGTCAGTTGCTGTAATTTGTTCGATGGACTCCAAAAGCTGTGATGAAGACGTTGACCACCACGATGATGAACACCAGACCTGTAGCCAAGTTTTCCATGAAGTTCAGCCTCTGGTGTTTTTGCTCATCATTCAGGTTCCATCGAACTGTGAACAAAAGCAGAACAACACACAACTCAGATAATGTCTAATTGCACAACAATCTACTCTATTCTGGGACTAAAGCCAACTCATTATGGTGCAAAGATTTACTGTCAACCACAAATCTATATTTACTTAATTCTGGGTTCAGAATGCTCATACATCTATTTGTGTCTTTTATTTTATGACGCAAGCATGTAAGGAAACAATGCAATATTCAGTTTTTCATTTTTCACTTAGAGGAAACTCAGATTTTAAAAAAAGTTAGATCTACTGCAATCAATTTACTATGTTATTAAAAATTTTAGCTCATTTTGAATTTGATCACTCAAAAAAGTTGGGACAGGGAAATGCAAAAGGCTTTAAACGTAAATGGTACTTAAATGAAACAGCTTAAGGAACATTTTGCAACTAATTAGCTGAATTGGCAACAGGTCAGTAACATGACTGAGTACAAAAAGATCATCTTAAAGAGGCAGAGTTTGTCAAAAGTAATGGTGCAGTAGGCAGAGGCTCATCAGTCTGCAAAAAAACTGCATCTACAAATTGTGGAACAATTTCAGAATAGTGTTCCTCTTTGTAAATCGTGAAGACTTTGAACATCTTATCAGTTACAATTCATAACATCGTCATAAGATTCCAATCATTTGGAAACATCTCCGTGCACATGGGACAATGATGAAAATCAATACTGGATGCTCGTGATCTTTGGAATCTCAGGTGACACTGCCATAAAAAAACAGACATGAAATTGTCATGGAAACCAAAAATGTGGCAAAAAAGACCCAGAATTATTGAGCAGCTACAATCCTATATTTCAGAATAAGACAAGAATGGAACAGAATTCCTCTCCGAAAAGTCCAACAACTGGTCTCCTAAGTTTCAAGACATTTATGGACTGTTGTTAAAAGAAGAGACGCTGCTACACAGTTGTAAACATGGCCCTGTCTCAACTTTTGTTTAGACCTGTTGCTACTAACGGCACCCGATACATTTGTTAAAATAGTATAGTTTCTCAGTTGAAACATTTAATACGTTTTCTATTCTTCATAGTGAATAAAATATGAGTTTGTGAGATATGCAAATCATTGCATTCTGTTTTTATTTGCATTTAACATAGCTTCCCAACTTTTTTGGAATTGGATTTGTAACAATAGCGTCCCCCAAATTAAACATGTATATGATGTGATACATTTACTATACATCGCAGGCATAAATGTCACACAGGGAAAGAAAACAAGTGTCAGGTTCAAATCACAGAGAAAGAACAATACAGGGGAAGAAAACTGATCAAGGGAAGCTTGTATTTCCTATATGCAACTGTGTCATTTCTTTTGTGTTTTAATAGCATCATGGCATGTGTTAAATGTTATGAAAACAGCTAATTAGTGTTGTGACAAAGACATTACTATGGTGTCATCAGCAGTACAGGGAGTCGCCTGTGAATAATGGTCACATGAATGCATATTCATACAAATGGGTGTGCAGTAGCCATGTATATGTGCATGGGTGTGTGTATTTGATGGAAATTACCAGAGGTTAAACAGCGTAAGAACCCTTCCTGTGATGTGTGTGTGTGTGTATCTGATCTGTCTTGGTGGGGGCTAGAGTCTGGTTGGGGTGGCCAGTATGTAGGCCGTTCACATCACGCACCACTGGCTTCATTAGAGAGAGCTGGATCCAACGGAAGGGAGGGATGTGAGGACGAGAGGCCAAAGAAGTTCAGAAGAGTAAACAAAAATGAAGAAAAGAGTAATGAGAAAGAAATGTGTGTGATATTTTGGTAAAGGCAAGGGATGCTGTTTAAGTCTGGTGAAGGAGGTCAAAGGGGCAATGAATGAGTGATGACTCTCACGTGCTGGATGTGTCTTATGGACATGTGACGTTTTTAATGTGAATACCTCAATGTGCAAATGTCAGAGTTAATAATATCTGATTGTACTGTATACTCATACTGTAACAATGTTGATGATGATATAATATTTTTTTTGCAGAAATCTGAGCAACAAGGGAGGAAATATTCATTTGGGCGTGCTTTGAAATATCTGATTGATAATTGATTATTTTAAGATTTTATTTCAGCAGTTTCACAGAGGAGGTAGATAAGACATGTGGGGTTGTTAGTTTCACACTAACCAAACAAAACTCACTTTATTTACTCATCCATCAACAGCTGAGTCATTGTGACTGGCTTAAAGTTCATTAACCTGTTGTTCAGTGTGTCAGGAAAAAAAAAACTAAATTAGTTTATTTATCCCCAACTTATATTATTTTTATTTACACGTACAAATTTTTCAACCCGAGATATCAGCAGACCTCCTAAAAAATTGTTGCTGCATCTGTCTCTTTTTGGGCTTTTCTCTTTGTTCCAACACATGGAGATACATACATACTGACACATATTGACACATTTACACACATACACAGCACCTCTCCCAACTCCCAGCAGTGCTGATATCAGCAGTAAAACCTAGTGAACCCTTTGACCTCTCAGTCCTGGTTGCTATAGAGACTGAATCCAGCTCCTAATAGGTTGTTTGTCAGGAGTCAGTAGACTTGACATTTATGGGGGAGGGGGTGCATTGTAGGGCAAAATGTGGCATATAGATCGCTGTAATCTTGCTAGAATAGGAAGGATGAAGTGGGCAAGTAAAGGATGTGAGATGCCAGACAGCAAAAACACCTCTGATACACCAGAAGGGCTCAGGCTATGTTTACTTTCTCACCTATGAAGATAAGCAGGACCCCGACTGTGATCTGTAGACACAGAGAGATGCTGATTAGGGTGATGGTGGGGGTGTAAAAGTGGAAGCTTGGCCCCTGCTCCAGGACAGCTTTTAGCTGGGAGGCATTGGCCATCAGCAGGGCCACATCCAGCATACTCTCAGCTGCACTCTTCTTATTGGCATAGTGGTTCATGTTCAGAGGAGCTGGGCTTCTGGGCCAAGCATCTGGATGGGTGGTCTGGGGGAGAGAAGAGAGTAATTGGCACAGAGATAATGTTTATGGCTTGCAGATAATGACAGAAAGAAGAACGCCGGGAAACAAGCAGAAAGGCTTGCTCTGTGCTGTGTTTTGTTCTTCCAGTAGAGCCAACAAGGCATCATTTTGATGAGACTAGCAGTAATTTTGTGTTTCCTGAGCATGGATGGTGAGGATCTGGTTATCATTCTGACCTAATTAGAACAACAACAGCCATTACAGAAGAGTGACCTTTGAAAACAGAGCCATTAGTACAGCAAGGAGATACTGGCAATCCGGTAACAGTACCATTAAAACATGACAAACACGAAGTCAGCATATGCCGTTTGTGCGAATAGTTTCAAGCGATTACTTTCAGTCTGCACATTTTCTCCTTCACTAGTGTCATATGAGCATTGAGCTCTGGGCATTTTATACTGCTTCTATGAGCCTGCGCCGCACTTGTTGCCCTCTATTCCAGTATTTGTTGACTTTATAAATCAAAACAGTCAAATGATTGATTTTCTTATCTGTAAAAAAAACTATCAGTGTAGAGTAATAGAGTGATCCTTTGTTCATATTCTGCCCATATCACATTCTCTTGAAGCTTGATGGACAGCTGCAGAAATGGGCTGAGCAAAAACAAGAAGAACCAGTGTTATATGATAGCAGTTTACCTCAGTTTGCCCATCTTTTGGCAGGTAGAGCCTTCAGCTATCAGGACCTTCTCTTGTGAAACCTACTCTCAGTTTTGGTTCTGAAGAAAGACACCCTCTCTACTCTTAAAATTAATCTTTCACTTTCCTTTTTGACAAATCTAAGAGTTTCATCAAGTTCCTTTAGTTATGCTGCTCTAAACCCAGGGTGCTAGTGGATGCACTGAGCACTTCTTCTTCGCTCCTCGCTTTTAATTCCCGTACACTCATAGGCCACTGCTGCATCTTGTTAACTCTTATCTACCTTCTTCAGCAGTTTCTGTGATGTCCTGCTCGTGGCTCATCGTGCGCCTATGGTCCTCTGTCCAGACGGCAGTCCCTCTCTAAGCCTTGTTCTGCCAGAGGGTCTACCTGTTGACAGGGAGCTTTTCCTCCCCACAATTGTTGGGGGATCTTTGGAGTTCACTCTCTAATATTGCATGATTTTTACCTTACCTTGGGATGACTGTTGTTGTGAGCTGGTATTAGCTTTAAGCCTAATCTTAAAATTAGAGAGGCTATCTGTCTCCTGGATCCAAACTGGGAGCCAGAAGTCTGAGAGTAAAATGCTCTTTTAGGGTGATAGGGTGATACTATGAGGTCTTTAAGGTAAGATCCAGCTTGAATATATGAACTGAATTGAAATAAATGTTCACTTCAGAACAAAATGTGCTTTATTATTTTGTTATATTTTATACTCAATAAACCAGGGACTTAGGAAGAGAGGTGAGTAAATATGGTAATTCATTTCTATGATTAATCAGCAGTTGATCAAAAGCGTTTAAGAAAGTTACTTTTACTCTGAGTTGTGTAACCTATCGATTCTTGTGTGGGTGAGCGTGATGCAACATTAGATTAGCTCAGTTGTGAGTGTGTTTGTGTATTCACTCCATGTCAGTGGACTATGTACTGCAAAGAGAGAACCATACATAGCCACTGGACCAGAAGGTTCTGGAAAAAAAGTTATCTTATTGGTGAGTCTGTCTCTATAAAAAATGATGGCTCATTACACCTGAGAACCACATTTTAAAATTCAGTGGCGACAAGGTCAAAGCATGAATGCCAATGCCAATGCCTCTTTTTCTTTGAGAAGGAAAAAAAAAATCAGCAGTCTCTTCCTGAACACCAAAATCTTCCGTTTTTATCATAACACTCCCTGCAGCTGCAGAGAGCATAGTTTGTCTGAGATTAACCAAACTGCAGAAGTGGTGCGAGCTGTCTTCCCTCTGCTCGAGGGATAAAGACAAAAAGAAAGGAAAGAAAAGCTGCACCCTCTAATTTACCATGAATGAGGCTACAGCTGAATTACAATGTATTTAAGAGATTCACAGCAATCAACTGGCATGGGTTAACTTGATGTATGAGGGGAAGTACACTCTGAACAGAAGGTGTGGTCGATGGGGTTGGTAATGATCTGGTACTCTGGTTGCAGTAATTATTTAGATTTTTTTGTTTAATCCTGTGATAACCACTGGACAAGCCATGTTTAATTCTCTTAATAAATCTCTGCTTTTTAGAAGATGTATTAAATGGGTTACTGGCCAAATTCATCATCTGGCATTCTACTTATCAGTTTAACTTTTATGCTTTATCATAGATTCATGTGAACACTTCAGAGACATCTCAGCAGTATCCAGCAAATGCTAAAAAAAACAAACAAAACAAAAAACAAAATGTCTTTTTTCCTTTCAACTCAAAGATCCACTGCACTGTGTTACACCTTCACAACGAGGAATTAAAACACATTTTAGGACATGCTTTGTGAAGCCAAACATGCATTTTCGCTGGAAAGCAATGTGGTGTGGCAGGGTGTCCTGTGACTGTGATCTGCTCCAAATACCACAAATGGCATACTGTCATGACGTGTCAGGGTCAGCCTTTCTGCTCTCACACACTGACATAGGTTTTTCAAAAAATACAGCCCTTTATCCCAGAGTCAACAGACCACAGTGAGATAATACTTGTTGTGAGATCGCAGGTTGGAAATATGGAGTCACTATGTCTATTTTTTCCAAAAAAGAACTCCTTTTTGACATGTGCGTAGGCCAAATCTAAAGGTCATTTCCTCTGTCTGCCCGAGCTATTTATCACGATTAATCCTGCTGTCTACTCGCATCATACAGCTGGCAAAATAGCACAACAACTAATCACAGCAGAGGAGACATTCAGTGCAAAAATGATAGCAAATACAGGCTCTTATAATGTGTCTTACTCAACAGCTGTGAGTGGAGTGGAGGGATAACATGCAACAAATTATTTTTTTTAAAAAGAGAATGTACGTGATCCTGGTTTTCGTTTCGTTCACAATTGCATTTTTGGAAAGAATTTTATATCCCAGAGAAACCCAGTGCTTGTCAGTCATCTAGGCACACCAGATTTATAGCTATCTAAACTGTAGGAAAAAAAAGAGAAAAGTTCTCATTAAATCAGTTGTGCTGTACTGGTTCTAGGTTTCAGTGCTGATTTTTGTGATGAATTATTCACAGTGCATTTCTAGTCTGAATCAGTCTCGGGGGAGATACACCGAGGGGAGAGAAGGAGCAAGGTAACGAGGGAGGGGGAGATAGTCAGAGACATAAAAGTTGTTTGGATCTTAACTCTCAGTTATGTGTCACTGTGGAATAACAGATGAAATCATGTAATAATATTTAACATTATTCAGTTTCTGCTGTAAGGTGTCACTAACACTACAATGTGGGAATGAGAAGGGAAACCAGCTAATCAGTAAGTTATTTATATAGGGCTTCTTCAAACAATGAATGTTGACCTAAGCGCTTAACTGAGCAATTGAAATCATTCCTATAAATCACATAAATAAAACTGAGAATAAAACTGGTTCTGCTGGGGGTTTCTTCCTGTTAAAAGAAGGTTTTTCTTCCCACTGTCACCAAAGCGCTTGCTCATAGGGGGTCATATGATTGTTGGGGTTTCCTCTGTTTTCTTTGTATTATTCTAGGGTCTTTACCTTACAATATAAAGCGCCTTGAGGCAACTGTTGTTGTGATTTGGCGCTATATCAATAAAATTGAAGCTGAATTGAATTGAATGAGAAAATATGACATTATTTTACCTTTCAACCCGGGTTGCAGAATGCAAAGGATTACCAAGGGTGAAAAACAAATAAAAGACCCTTCAATTCACATTCGCTACTTCTCATATTTTTTTAATGCTAAAGCTAGATGCAGAGTTGTATAATACATGCTTTTTACAACTTTGGAAAGACTGCAATTTCTTAATTCCCGTGATTTAACCCAAACCTCAGATCAAATAAATCCATTTTTCATTGTGTATTCAGAAGCAAATGAACGTTTTGGCTGATTTCCCAAAAACTAAATGAACTCATTCAACTTGCACACCTAATCCTAAACTTTTCTCCTTTTCCCATGTCGTCACACTAACTGATTACACCTGCATGTAAGTTACTTAGAGAGTATGCAGTGCCTTTAGCTTTGTATTGTTAAGCTCTGTGTCTGACATGTAGAAAGCTCTTCAAGGCAACAAAGCAAGACACCACTTAAGACAGTGAAACCGTACATTTATTATTTAGTTAATTGAGCCCGTGTTCAGCTATATGATGAAATGCTAAATTAACTCTAACTGCATGAGTGAGTATTTCACTTACTTTTTTTTCTCCTCGTGCATAAGCACTTCTTTGCTCTCCATCCATCATGTCCTATCAGCAGCCTTCTTCTCTCACTCACCTCAAAATCTGGCCAGTTTCCAGATGACAATCGACCCAACTGTAAATCTAATTTCCATGAATCTCTGTAGAGCTTTTAGTTTTACAGCCTTGCACAAAGCAAAGCAAACATGACTGTTTCTGAGTGTGGTCTATGCAGCTAAGGCACTTATGGTGGGAAAAAAAACCCCAAACAAATCAAAAACACTTTCTCATTTAGTGAAAAGCTGCAGTTTAAACTACGGGTTATCAAAGAAAGTGAAATCTGACTCATCTCATCGGTCTTAGATTTCAGTGAAAGGCAGGCAAGAATATTAAAAGCCTGCAGAAAGTCTTCCTGTGAGATATTCACCCTACAAGAGCCACGGATTGAAAAAAAAAACACTCATATTGACTCACACTGGTGGGGGACACATTGTAAATGAGATCAATTGCTCATTTTATCGAGCGTAAGGGTATTACATTTTGCAAATGCTGGCTGAGCTCTGACTGTTGCAAGGAAGTATCTGTGGCTGCCAGGGTCTCTCTTCCTCCTGCCTTCTTCCTCAAATTCACACACACACACACACACACATCTGAAATTAAATGGCGCTATTAAGACAGTGACCATGCGGATAACAGAGTGAAGTCCATTTCCCTGCCCTGTAAAACTGGATGCTGCACATTAGATGCAGGACTGAACTACTCTTAAATGGCAGCTTCAATTGCCTAATAAACTAAAGTAATCAATCTGTGAGCTTTACAGTTGTGGCATGAAGCAGGATGATGTAATACAAAAGTAAAACCTTGTGTCTGTTTTTATGTGTGCATTTAAGCCAGTGCACTGGTAACAAAGGAGGGCATTCATTGTTTATAAGGTCACTCAGGTACCAACAATACTTCACCCCTAAGCCAGACCAGACTGTCATCTGACCCAGCATGCCTGCAAAAGACTTTAAGATGTCTGGTCAAATGCTTCTGCGGAGACATAAAATCCGTCTTATTCAGCACCACTTCTATTCTGCAAAGCGTATGCACCTCTGAATGTACCTCACATGCAGATGACATGTAACATGAGAAAAGGCACAGAAGTGGCATGGAAGCGCAGAAACCGCAGGAGGTGGATACTTTTACACGATCGGCTTACAATAAAAAGTAACAACCGACAACTCTGGGTACAGAAATGACCACGACAATGAATCAACACTTCTTGCAACAAAAAATTCAACCTAAACAAAAATTGCATGACAGCACATTTCCCAAGTGCCCATATCCAAGCGATTGCTTTGCGGTCCGTGCATTTTTGCACTGTATTAACACTCCTTCGATTCTACTGTATAAAAGCATGCAAAACAGCAAGAATACTCTTATTAATCAGGTAATCTTTCTTCGTGCATCTTTTATTTATTGCACTTGTGAGCATGTCAATTTGTATGATCAATCTACTTAGCCTATAGACATCTATAAACCAGAGGATTTACATTTTCCCTCGATGAATGTTAAAAAGGGGCTGCAAATATCTTACCTCGGTGCTACTTAACCTGTTGATGCTGCTGCTCATTTTTGCCCTGTGCGAAGAGCTGCTACACCTCAGATGCGGGCTGCAGCAAAGTGGTAAAATATCCTGTAGGGGTAGAGAAGACTGGACCCGCAAGCACGTAGCCAAGGCTACGTGACAGAGCTACTGATGCACGTGTAACTACTATATTATAGTGACACAACAGCAGTGATAATGGAAAAATGTTGTTTCAACAGCAGGCTCGGGAGTTAAGACACGTGACTGAGTCTGCAAAGGGTGTGAGAAATTATTTATTTATGTTTTCAATTGCTGTGTAATTTACTTGCACTGACTCTAATCAGCCTTTGTCTCACCCCGTGTCACTCTGTCTGTTGGACAGCACACAATATGATGAGTAGGCTTTCTGTGGCGTCCCAGAGTGCCGTATGATTGGATGGACCATTCCCCCCACCTCCACCCTCCTCCCTTCTATAGTCCTCACCAGGGGCGTGGAGCCAAGCGAACTGAATGGGAAACACATTTGGTGTACCTCACCGGTGCACTAACCAAATGGTGGAAGGCGATGACAAGCGCAAACAGCTGTTGGTTTAAGTTAACTACCCAGGGGACTACAGGAAAAATAAAAAACCCCGAGTCTTAAAGCGACCCGTGTGTGCTATTTACTTACGCGGCAGCGAAGAAGAAGAAGAAACAGTGGGGAGAGTCGCATCGGGAGCTGCAACCGAAGAGAGGGATGCGGGGACTTAAAAGGAGATAAATACAAGAAATTCGTCAGTTATTTCTTGTCAGCATGTGGTATGTGTTCAGTTAAGAAAGCCCGAATTTGTTTGCGGTCGCTGGGGCGGCTCCTGTGCTTGAAAATGGAGATAATATGCAGATAGGGCGTTTTTGAAGTCCACCTTTTGTCGTGGACAGTCGGCTAACGTTGGCGAGGATTTTTTTTGAGTGCTGCTACTGGACCTGGCAGGTTTGTCTCTGCTGTGTGTCACTGGCGTCAGTTATACTCGAAGGTGTTTTTTATGCCCCTTTTTTGAACAAGGTAAGTCGTGCCTTATTTTTTTAATGTCAGTATTTGAACGTAAGATAATATTGTGGGTATACTGGGGGGAATTTACTGCTAGCTAGTTGCCAAACTTATGTCGCCGAAGCCAGCTTGCTAGTTTCTCGGTCACCTGGACGACGATGGCTTCTGGAAGCAATGCTTTAACTCCTGGGCTTGTCTTTTTGTCAACCCCCTCTTACTGACAGCAGCTAACTTCACCTCAGTGATTATTACCATGCTTAACGCCCATCGATAGCTTTAGCAATAATGTATAACTGGGGCATATCGTATTTCTTTTGCAGGTTCTTTTTATTATTATTATTATTATTATTATTATTATTATTATTATTATTAGCGGATAAAATCTTGTCTATGTCATCCATCCTAGTGTTGTTAAGGGCCTCTCCCGGCAAACTGCGTCACCGAGTGGGCGCTGCAGGTATTCATCTGTCGATCTGCGTGTTGGAAAGTCTACCCGTGATGGCACGAATGACCTGGAAACCAAAGCGACTGAACTTTTAAGTCACCATGGAGCCGGAGTCTAAATCAGGCTCCGGGGACCATCAAGACCTGAGAAATTCGCCTGTAACCAAGTCTCAGTGTGAACCGGGCAAAAATGTGCGCGAGGCCATGGGTGATGGACCCGTCAGTCTTGTGGACTCTGTAGTGAGAGGTGGGAGTGACCCCAGCGCATATCCTTCCTCCAGTTATCAGAGGATTGTGCATCAGAGATTCATCAGGAGAAGTTTATGGTTTTCAGACACAGATGAGCAGGCCTTTGAAGCACCTGAATGTAATAACAGGAGTAAGATCCTAAACATTAACCTGCGAACAATTGTGGACAGGTCAAGGGGGACCAGCTGTGCGATACAGGAGGGATCCAGCACTGAAAGTCAAGGTGGGCTTAAAGACAGTGCAACAGAGAGCGCCAGCGCCGATGAGGACAAGGAGAAAGGTGGAGACGCGCTAAATGTTACATGCAGTGATGGTGGTAAAGCTGCTGTCAAGGCAGCCAGTGAGGAGAATGAGGAGGAGGCAGAGATGAAGGCAGTCTCCACGTCTCCAGGGGGAAGGTTCCTTAAATTTGACATAGAGCTGGGGAGAGGTTCCTTCAAGACAGTCTACAAAGGCCTGGATACTGAGACCTGGGTGGAGGTGGCCTGGTGTGAGCTGCAGGTAAGGCAGTAAAATTGTCTCATCTCATTAACAAAATTTCTGTGACACCAATTCGTTGTGTATGCAGCAGTTACAGACAAGGCACAATTATCTTTTTCATATCTGTGAAAAAAAGGCTTATTTGTCACATTTTTAATCCATGAGATGGATGCTGACCAGAGCTATCTAAAAGTGTCTTCACATTTTTCTCTCTACGATAAATATATGCGTGATTAATATTAGTGGAAGAATGCCTGACTCCCACAGGAAGCCCTCTATCTTTTCTCCTCTGTGTTCTCACTCATCATGATAGTGTAATGGAGATGTCTTCAGGGAGCTGTCAATCAGCCTCTAGTCTCATGAAGGAGTATGCTGAGTTGCAAATTGGTCACCACTAAATTTTAAATGGTTTACACTGGAAGACTGATTGACAAGCAGTAGCTGTAGACATGACATGGAGGAACAAACCATCGCTGAAGTATGGCGATCGACAGTTTCGCAAATGCACAAGGGGAGTTCATTTTCTTGCGTTACATAGACACAAGGAAATCACAAGCTTAGACTGTGCAAAGGTATTAACTAATTATTTCCATCCTTCTGAGACTGCAACAAGGATTATTCTCTCTCCCTCTCCCAGGAGGCTTAAGGGGGACTATAGTTAGCATGACTGGCCCCCTCAAAGTACAAAAACATGTCCTGTGATTTGTTATTTTTTCTCCCTATTTAGATAATTTTGTAAAGGATTTATTTTACATTGTGTGTGCTCAGACAGCCTTCATTTTCCATGGCAGTTTGGCCAGCTGATTGCATGATGACACTCAGCTCAATCATTGAAGTGGACAGTGCAGGAGATGCCGGTTCGCTCTCTACCAGCAGTGTGTCTGCATGTTATTAGTGGTGCTACTCCCTGCATCGCACCCTCTGTGTAACAGGAGGTGAGCAGACAGGAAGCAGCTGAACCTGCCCCATAGCCTGCTGGGAGCCTTGTGGCAGTCAGTGGCCTCAGTGAATACTTTGCCTAGGGTACTGAAAACATGCTGCGTCAGTACTGTGCAAGATGAAAGAATGCAAACCACTTCATCCACTGGCAGGAATTAAACCTGTTTTGCCTGACTTTAGCATTACAGCGCAGTGACACATAGCATCACATAAAAGGACTTTAAAGATAGAATGCTATTGTTGAGCATGCAAAGACACACTGAGACTCGAAGGCCTCATTTGGATGATGATATCATGCACGCTGACAGCAGGAAGCAGCCCCGAGCTTTCCTCAACTGGACAACGCAAAGCTGTAGTTCAGTCCAGTGGATGGAGAATGTGGAAGAGGGATCTATGTACTCTTATTTTATTTTTCCCTAAAGACAGATTAAAACTCCCTCTAGTGGACAGTTGACAATGGATGTTAATCATGATTCAAGTGATCATGTAGTCATCTCATATATACTGTTGTAGCTTTGAGCTGAAGGTCTTCCATTAGGTACTGTTGGATAAACAAAATAACAGGCAGAACTCTTTCACGTGTTGTTAAACTGTCATAGCAGATGCAGTTTAGGTAATTATTATCCATTTATTTTCTTTATTGGCCATTTGAATCATTAAATGTCTTACAAAGGAGTTTCCTTGCCTCCTTAGTGATATCTGAAGAATTAATCTGCAGCCGTTTATTGATTAATGAGTCAGTTGAAGCTATTTATTGTGCATAATTACACATTCCCAAATGATTTTTACTCTGGATTTTTTGCTGTTGGTCACAGAATACAAAATATAAGACAATTAATTTCCTTCTCTGATGTTTTATAGATTGAGTGACTATAAAACAGAATTGGATTAATTGACATTTCAGATATCTTGTCCTGTCTAAATTCTAAGGTGTTTCATTTATTTTTTAAAGGGCCAAGCAAACATATTAAAAGTTACATTTGAGAAGCTTGAAGTTTTTGTGGAAAAGTTACTTGAACATTGTTTAATCTGTCATTCTGGATGTTTCAGTGTGTATTTACATTGCTATATTACACAATGTCTGAATTCAATTTTAAGTTTAGAGTTGCCGCATTGTGCAGTTAGACCAACAGCACACTTCTTAATTATGGGCATTTGTAATAATCTGCAGACTGTAGTACGGGAAATGAGATTCTTTACTCCTAAAGAAAGTAGAAGAAGGAGTAGCTTCAGTAGGCTTTATCAACATCCTCAATGTTATTGTCTGTCAAGCTGTAATCAGGATGAAATCACTGGAGAGATGAACTAAGAAGTGAGATCAATAGGATCGTAGTGTATATTGAGCCTAAAGGCAGACTTTTCAAGGTGGAGCTCTTTGAACCTGACTCGATCACCATAGTGATATATATACTCCACATCTCACAGGTGGTGCATGCAAGCTGTTTTCTTCTTTGTGCACAGCAGCCAGTGCCAAAACTGATGTTATGATTGCTCTTGTGCAGGGTTCTTTGGTCTTGTTTTGGCTTACTATACAGCTTGCTTTAAAAAAAAAAAAAATATTTATAACCAGGATGGTCAGCACATACAGGCTGGAAGCACAATTGTACAGGCAGATCAGTCTCTTCCAGCATCTCTATGATACACCATTAAGTGGGATTGCTGGTACTTTCAGGAAGCTGAGCTATTTTGCAGAAAACCTCAACAGTTGTTTTTTAAAATGTTTTGAATTTATTCTATTCTGATTCCAGCTGTGATTTCTTTTTTTTCTCTGAACAGCAACATGTGTCTGAAGACTGCAGTGAATCGTCTATATCAGCTGTAAAAGCGCATAAAATTGTTTCTCTTCTCGGTCTGTATTCGTTACTAAGCCTGTTTTATACTGCAGGTATTACAGCTAATAGAACACAGATAATAACATGTTTTATTCTG